ATTCATGCGGCACTTGCCGAGGCATTCAGGCAACTTACTTTTCAGATTGCACGTTCGCACAGTGGTTTCAGGATGGCCAATAATTAGGGTAATATTAGGGTTATATTGGGGTTCTATGGGGGATAATGGAAAAGAAAATGGAAACTACTATAATAATGGGTTATATAGGGATTCTAGGGTTATATGGGTAGTTGTCAAAATTATGGTCCCTTTTTGGGTCCCCTAAATTAGGCCCCGTATTAGGCCCTGTATTATAATAGGGACCCAAAAAGGGACCATAATTTTGACAATCCCCCATTTAGTAAAGAGCAAAACACTCCAAGTATCCGCAAGTAACTTGCTTGCGGCGATCTTATGTTGACAAGGGCGAGTATCAGACACAGACGGCCACGTGCTTGGGAAGTATAACGGATCACTAGCATCCGGCTTAATATTACGCAACGCAGGCTATGGGACAAGCATTGCTTGTCCTCAGGGAGGTGTACGCTCCATTACTGTTCCATTCAAGGCTCGATATTGGTTGCCCAAATTGAGCCGCACGCCCAAGAACTCTCGACAGTTGTTCATTTCAAGCAGAGACAGCTTAATGACAGCCCGTTGTGCCAAGTGCGAGAGGACATGGTAGTTTCTCAGCCTAAAATTCCGCAAGGACTTTATAAAATCCTCTCAGATCCCTTCTAGATAATGTAGACCCATGATGAATAAACCCCCTCCTTGTAAGGCTCCTAATATTAGGATCCCTATTATAATCCCTATTAAGGGGAGGGGGTTTATTATAATCCCTATTAAGGGGAGGGGGTTTATTAATCAGGGGTCTACATTAGGATTACAGCTTGGCCCAACGACCTTCCTTCGGCAGGACCCGTGTTGCCTGGAGGCATTGTTGCAGAAAGGCCTAGCGCCTGCGACCCGGAGGGCAGTGCTTGAGTTTATTATGCGAGGGCTACTCATTGAGGGTACAGTATGCATGGGGAACACCTACAGTGAGAAATCGGGTTATAGGGGTTATGGGTTATATAGGGTTTTATAGAGGGATATAGGTAGATTTTGAATTAGATAGATTCCCATCCTGGTTTAGATTGTTTAGTCTGCAGAACCGCCAGCGCTCTGAGTCCTCCATGTCTTGGGCGTTCCCGATGGGACACGTTGAAGGCTCATGACTTGAGACTTGCACGTTGAGGGGGCTCTACATGAGAGGGCTGGGATCCTGCGCGAGGTTCTACATACTAGGGTTTAAGGTACAGAGTTTAGTGTTAAGGTAGTAACCCTAAACCCTAAACCCTAGTAATTTAGTAGGTAGCACCCCTGCGAATAGACTAACTTCTGCAGCCTTCTGGCACGTCTTTCTTGATCTCATTGATCTTCCATTGCAATCCTAAACCATGAGCCCTAGGCCCAAAGGCGTGGCCTTCGTTTTCTTTTTCTTTCATTCCCTACTAAAAGCCCCGGACCGCAAACACCTCCCCTGTAATTAAAGTCCTAGATTCTGGGTGTCAGTATAGTATAGGGTGCCTCAAATAGACCTCAAAATCATTTTGGTATGTATTTCTGGAGGCCCCTACATAATCCCATATAATCCCGATAGAACCCTAGCTAGACCCAGCTTCCATTTCATTATGCATTTCCTGGCGGGGTAATATCCCTAAACCCTAAGCCCTAAACCCCCAATGCCTCAACAGTAGGCCCCTGCAGCATCAACTTCTCAGGCTTCTAGAGTTGGGTCGGCCATCAGAGGCCGAGGGCATCCTCCAGGAGCCTAGGGGTTTAGGGTTTAGGGATGTCTGTTCTTAAGACTAACTCCTACATGTTCCTTGACATTTGCGGTGTTAGGGCTTCTAGAGGGTAAAGGGAGTAGAATACATGGGATTTGAGCTTTGGGGTTAGGGATGGATCCTGATAGTAGTCCCTATATAACCCTTAAAGTAGCTCCCATTGTCTTTTTCATTCTTTCATTCCCAGCTAGTCCAAGACCAGAGGTAAGCGATACACCCTAAACCCTAAACCCTAAATAGTAATTTCCATTTTAATATACCCTAATAATCCTGTAGTAGAATGTTGGGATGCACCGGGATTCTGAGGGATTAGCGAGATCAGTCTTTGTCATCATGTACTTGGAGGGTCAGGGGGACTTATATCGGCGTTATTGGGGTTAAATGGGGATCATGGAACATAAAATGGAAGCTACTATTTATGGTTTAGGGTTTAGGGTTGGAGGGTCAGAGGAGCTTAGTAAGTAGGTTAATAATGGGGATACTTGGGGTTTTTTAACGGCTTACAGGGGTTCGACCTACGTACTTAGTCCCGCTGACTCTCCAAGCAGAGATTGTTGTGAGAAACTCTCACAGAGGGACTCTGCAGTCAGTGGGCGCATGGTGTACCGGTTTGCCAGAGTTGGCCGCCAGCTGTTTGATTTCGTGCTTTCGATGTCAACATTTGGAGAGAAAGTTCCAGCACCCATCTACCTCCTGCCCATTGTAAACCCAACTTGCTTCAAACCCCAAACCCTCCTGCCTGCTCTATACATGGAGTCAAGCAATCGAATCACTCCTACCCAAGTCCTGAAATGCAAGGTTCCAACACAACAGGCTTCTTTGCCTTGCCTTAACCTTGACACAGCTGGTTGCAAGGAGGGGCTACAGGCAGAGGGCAGCGCAGTCCTCGCACGATCTGCTCCCGAATGTCAGGAGGTGGGCGTGTGTTCACTGGGCTGCGCAGATTCGAATGGCATGTCTGGGCAATTGCTACGCCTTGCACATGTTTTCTGCAGCTTCTGTTACGGAATCCCAAGATTTCCCTTAGTATGCACACTACCAAATCAGAAAGCTCACGAGCTCTTGCAATGGCAGCCCTTGAATGCTGTCCCATGATACAAGTCTGCAAGTCACGGTTTCTGAATGTTTGTCGCTGTTGTGTGCTATGTTTATGCAGGCCGTCAAAAGGAAAAGGTATTCATGCTGCTTTAAACCTCGACCGCCACCTAAGAGCCGCAAAGTCCACAATTTATCTACTGGCACAACATGCGAGGGCGTACCCAGGATTTAGGGTTTAGGATTTAGGGCTTGGGGTTAAGGCCCTAAAGCGATCCCGGTGTAGGTGTTGGACCAGCTCGAGTCCTTCCTGGATGACGAGGACTTGTTGCAACAGGCCTGCTCCGCCTTGGTATTGCGAACTGTGACGGTGCGGCCTGTGCTTGTAGGGTCTTGGGCTATAATATACGATAATATATTGGGATAATGGAAAAGAACATGGAGACTACTGCAGTATAATGGGTTTTAGATTGGGCTAATGAACAGTACTACAGTATGTTGGGGTTATATTGGGATGATGGAAAAAATGGAAACTACCATATCACAATAGGGTAGTTATCCATGTTCTGGCCCAGCTTACCAAGTCCCCATGAACGTCCCAGTACTTTCTCTGGAGGACAGATAAAGTAGGGCGAAGTGTGCGTGCGATCTCCCAGCCTGAGACTATAAGCTCAAACCGGAGGAGGACCCCCACCCACCCTGTAATAGTGGTATAATTGGAAAATAATAGGACCCTAATATACTTCTTATTATCCCTTATAGCCACTGTTACAGGGCGGGGGGGTCTACCTTACTTAAACCCTAGATCCAGAGGTGCAAAAGCTGCGCGAGACGGGCAATGAGCACGTGCGGCAAGGAAGGGCCGGTCCGATGGATAGCTGGGTGGCACTTTGGGACAATGAATCATATATGAGTTTTGTTGTTGTGGTATAAATGCATGACATTACTTATATTTAAATGATTTAGGGGGCCTTTCAAAGTACCAATCAGATGGACTTTCTTGAGTTAGGTGTCATTGTCACTTGATCTATAGGGCTCATTCTGGGCCTTTGCATTCCAGGTTTGTTTGATTGTGCCAACAGTCCGTACTCTGAATCCAACGCCATTTAGGACACGCAAGGCTACAATAGAAGGCACGCTTCTGATCCGGTAAGGACGTAGCTTGCTTCAACTTCAAGAATAGTGTGCCCTTACACGTGAGATGTCAAAATGCAGGCATTCGTGTAGAGCTAGAGCTGTGGCGCCGCCCCTTTTTGAAAACGCACTCGCACCTTTGTCAGAGTACAGGGTGACTTGGGGTAAAACATAGAGATCGTTTCTTCTCTCTTTCCTGGTCATTACAAGTGGCATCTACATACAATCAACGTATGTACTCCTTCTAGTTGCTGGTATGAGTTGTCTTGTTGCGTGCAGCACTGCCGTGAGAATGGGTATGCCAAAAGATTGCAAGTACCACAAGAACGAAATATCAGGATCTATTGCGGGCGACAAAAATGACAAGTGCTCGTCTGTGTTTCTGAACACGCTGACCTTGCGGTCTGGTTTGCTCTCTGATGCAGGACGCTACGCAGATGCCGCATGGTGCTATGAGGATTGCCTCCAGGCAACTACGTGGATATGAAAACAGGGCCTGACACGCAGATCGTCTCTGGGAGGGTTGGTCTTTTAGCATTCGGCATGAAGCAGTTTCAGTTCTCCGTGATGTGGGTCATCCTCTACAGATTACTGAAGCGCGGGTATGCGAGTATAGAAAGATGCTCAAGATCAGGGCAGAACCGTGAGCCTCGGCTTAAACCCTAGGCTTTTGAAGTGACATTGGAGTAAGATAGACATCATGGCCTGAAG